TGAGTTATCTTACTGTCAGCTTTTTACAATCTCATGTTCCAGAGACTCCCAAAGTACTTGAAAGTCTCCAGTCATTGTCTCAACACTGTAGTCACCTTAGATCCTGGAACAGAAAAGCCTTGTGTACAGACTGTCCTACCATGAGAGTACCCTCAGCTGGGAATAATCTTCTCCGAGGAACCAGATTATCTTCTCAAAAGATACGACTTCTTCCAGCTATTTTACAGACCAGAACTTAGATAATGATCAACCTGATCAAACATTGGCCAAGACTGCTTAACCATGAATACTTCTTGCTCCCTGTTCCAATTCTTCATCTGTTTATACCTAAGGCTTGTGCCAGTGCCCTAAAATAGACTTGGAGTTACTGCACCCATTAATCTGTACTTCCCCATGTGGTCACACTGCTTAAATCTCTTTTCTATGCTTTATGTAATTATTCATCCCTTAAAATCATGTGTGTATTAGAATATATACTTGTGCATAGCATATTGGCACTTGGTTCCAGGCCTTATTACCTAAAGCTCCAGCAGCAAGACTAAAGAGGCTGGTAGAGAACTATTCAAGCTGGGCAGTGGTGGTACACACCTTTAATACCAGCATTCAGAGACAGAGGCAGGAGGTTCTCTGAATTTGAGGCCAGCCTGGTCTACAGAGTGAGTTCCGGGACAGTCAGGGCCACACTGAGAAGACCTGTGTTGAAAAACCAAAATCAAACAAACAAAGCAAACCAAAAACAGGCTATCCATATTACCGCAGGTCACAGTAAGTGTTTCACATTGTATCTTTTTAAAGCTTATTCTTCTTTCCTATGTTACATCCCACCTGTGGTTTCCCCTCTTTCCTTCCTTCCCAGTCCCTCCTACCTTCCTCTTCCCCAGATCCACTCCTCCTGTTTCCCTTCAGAAAGGGGGCAGGCCTCCCAGGGATGTCAACCAGAGCATGTCAAGTTGAGATAAGACCATGTACATCCCCTCACATTAAGGATGGATGAGGCAACCCAGTAGGAGGAAAAGGGTCCTAAACTCAGGCAAGAGAGTCAAAGACAGCCCTGCTCCCACTGTTAGGAGTCCCCAATAACGCCAAGCTACACAATCATAACATGTATACAGAGGAACTAGGCCAGTCCCATACAGGCTCCCTGATTGTTGATTCAGTCTCTGTGAGCCCCTATAAGCCCTGGTTAACTTATTCTGTGGGTTTTCTTGTGGTGTCCTTGACCCCTCTGGTTCCTACAGTACAATCCTTCCTCCTCCTCTTCCACGGGATTCCCTGAGCTCTGTCTAATGTTTGGCTGTGGGTCTCTACATCTGCTCCCATTAGCTGCTGGGTGAAGCCTCTCTGATGATGATCATGCTAGACTCAGGACTGTGAGTTTAGGAATTATTTCACTGACTTTTTTTTTTTCTGGTCCTATTTGTTTCTACTCTAGGTCTCTCTCTGGGCTCTCTAGCCTCTGGTTCCTGGTTCTCCAGGCAGTGTCAGGCATGGCTCCCTCTCCTGTCATGGGTCTCAAGCTGGGCCAGTCATTGCTTGGCCACTCCCGTAAGTTCTGAGCCACCTTTACCCCAGCACACCTTCAGGCAGGACAAGCTGTAGGTCAAAGGTTTTGTGGCTGAGTTGGTGTCCCAATCCCTCCACTGGAGCTCTTGCCTGGTTAAGAAGATGGCCAGGGTTCAGGCTCCATGTCCCCCATTGCTAGGAGTCTTCACTATGGTCACCCTCTTAGATTCTTGGAGATTTCCACTGCACTAGGTTTGCACCTTGCTCTTGAAAAGCCTTTCAGCTCCAGGCAGCTGTCCCGGTACTTCTCCTCTACCCCCGCCCCCACAACTGATTTCTCCTGTTTCCATCCCAACCTGCCTCTAGTCTACCCACAAAATCTATTCTGTTTCCCCTTCCCAGGAATATTCATGTGTCTCCCCTTGAGCCTTCCTTGTTACTTAGCCTCTCTGGGTCTGTGGACTAGAGCATGATTATCCATTATTTTACATTTAATATCACTTATAAGTGAGAACATACCATGTTTGTCTTTCTGGGTCTGGGTTACCCAGAAAGGATGATTTTTTTTTCTAGTTCCATACATTTGTCTGTAAACTTCATGATGTTATATTTTTCTAACAGCAGAATAATTTTAAATTCTGTAAATGTATCACATTTTCTTTATTCATCCTTTGGTTGGGGGACCTCTAGGTTCTTTCCAGTTTCTGGATATTATGAATAAAGCTGCTATGAACATACCTGAGCAAATGTTCTTGTGGTATGATAGAGCATCTTTTGGGTATATGCCCAGGATTTGCAATTCCTTGATAGCTAAGGATGCTAAACATTTCTTTAAGTATTTTTTGGCCATTTGAGATTTCTCTGTTGAGAATTCTCTTTTTACCTCTGTATCCCATTTTTTAATTGGGTTATTTGGTTTGTTAGTGTCTAATTTCTTGAGTTCTTTATATGTTTTGGATATTAGCCCTCTGTCAGAGATAGGGTTGGTGAAGATCTTTTCCCATTCTGTTGGCTGCCACTTTATCCTACTGATGGTGTCCTTTGCCTTACAGAAGCCTTTTAATTTTATGGTGTCCCATTTATTGTCTGTCTTAGTCTCTGCACTACTGGTGTTCTGTTCGGAAAGTTGTCCTCTGTGCCAATGATTTCAAAGCTATTTCCTACTGTCTCTTCTATCAAATTCAGTATATGCGGTTTTATGTTAAGGTCTTTGAACCACTTGGACTTGATTTTGTACAGGGTGATAGATATGAATCTATTTGTACTCTGTTGTGCTCTTTTTAATCTCTTTTTTATTTGGGGTTCTTAAAAACCTCTCCCTTCCAACCCCCAGACTCCAGGTAAGAGAGAATAGGTTAGTGGGGAGGGGCATAGACCCCTTTACTTCTCCCATCTGTTTATGGTGGATGGGTTCTTTTGGGGCTATACCAATCTTCATCAGGGGCTTATGCAGCAAGCAGCCTCCTCTGTCTATCTCCTCCAAACCACTGCATCACAAAGTATCTCTTCAAGCTGCCACACTATCCATCTCTGGTCTCTCTAAACTACCACATACCACACACCACACATGACACATCACCCTTTCTCTTTCTATTTATATCCCTCAGAGTCCTAGACGTGCCTCTCCTTGCTGAAAGAGGCAGGCCATTACCAAACGGCAAAAACCATATCCGCAGGAGACAGTTATCAGCTGTGGACAAACTAAAGCCCAAACTAAAATCCCACACTTGGGATTGAAACAAAAACATATTTACATAACATAACTGAGTTTTTTTTTAGGAAACCAAAACTTCCATTACAGGATATTCTTCTATATGTAGACAGCCAGTTAGACCAGCACGCTTGTTGAAGATGCTTTCTTTTTTCAATTCTGGCTTTTTAATGAAAAAGCAGATGTCAATAGTGTGGAGAGCTGTGGGACACAGCTACAAAGCCAGCCTGAGAGACAGGCCTAGAAGCTCAATATTGAACTCACAAGGCGATACTGGAAGACATCCAGGAAAGATGTGCCTGCCTTTCGTTTCCAAGTCAATAGTTTAGCTGGATAGTCCCGGATGCTCCAGGTAACCCGGAAGCCTCCAGCACCTGAACACAAATGGCCTCTTGCTGAAGCAACACACCTGTGGCCAAGCTTGACGAGCTGAGTTGGATCACTAGGACTCACACTGTGGTGTGAAGAGCTGCTTGTTAAGCTGCTTTGTTATGTTTTCACCTGGTGTAGGAAGTAGTTTTTGAAAAGTAGTCGTTTCCACACCTTTTTTCTTTTTGTATTGATGTGACTTGTTTTTGCTTTGCCTATAAATAATGAACCCTGGAATAAACCTGTGCTTCTTCAGTCATTACTGACAGCCCTCACAAGCCGACCCTGTGTGTAGTGTGATTTATCTTCACTTCCCACTCAGGTACCGTTTGCCTCTGCCAGTGGGTTCTGGCACTATAGGTGGGTGGATTTACATCTAGGTCTTGAATTCCATTGATTAACCTGTTTTGTGCCAATATCATGCAGTTGCTCTGTAGTATAGCTTGGAAATCAGGGATGGTGATACCTCTGGAAGTTTTTTTTTATTGTATAGGATTGTTTTAGCTATCCTGTTTTTTGTTTTGTTTTGTTTTGTTTTGTTTTGTTTTTCTTTTTGTTTTCCATATGAAGTTGAGTATTGTTCTTTCAAGGTCTGGAAAGAATTGTTACACTGTATTTTAACAGCCATTAAAAACAATGTAAATGTCATAAGGGAATAGGATGAGAAAATTAGCAGATGTGAACAAATTTGTATAGAAAAGATCAGCTGTACTTTGCAGAACTGATGGGTTTGGCTACAAAGACTACAAAAAAGTTATACTGAGTTTTAAGTTGATTTCCAACTTTGTGCCTCCTACTTTCCTATTAAGTATACTGTATTGGAAAGAGAATAAGTTAAACGAAAAAGGTAAGTTTTTAAGGGAATGATTGCAAAACAGTAGAAGGGGAAATGTTTTGTTGCACTTTTGGGCTGCAGGAAGAAACTCTTGAAGCCTGTTCTCCCAAGTTGGCTACAGTCTGAGGAAAAAGATACGTGTTGCAAAAATGGTGCTTCCTTCTTCTGTCTTGACCTGACAGGAACCTTAACGGACGTCAATCGCCCTAATCCAAAACGACAAGATACTTGGGCAATCGTGTACAGAGGTGAAGACATGGCATCTGGAAGAGGTTAGGAGAAACGGACACTTGGATCCACACATCACTTAGATCCAGAAGGAGGACATTGTTATAAAATAGCAAATGGCCAAGACAAATTAACCACCTACGCACTGGTCGCTGATCCGGGCTAGCGCGCCGGAAGCGGGGAGGGAATGACCCCCATCCAAGATGGCGGCGGCTACGGAGGCGGGAGCGCCCTGGAGCATCTTTGCCCTCATCCAAGATGGCGGCCCCGTGGGCGCTGTCCCGGCTCCGCCCCGTGCCGCGGCCCCGCCTCCCCTCCGTCCCTCCCTCCGCCCCCTCGCAGTACCCCGTCGGGTCTGAGGTGCACGCGCGCGCGGCGAGGAGAGCGGTCTGCGGGCGCTTGACATGGCGGCAGCGGCGGCGACTGCAGCGACCAAGGGGAACGGGGGCGGCGGTGGCCGAGCGGGGGCCGGCGAAGGCGGCGGCGGCGGCACGCGGAAGAAGAAGGGCCCCGGGCCTGTGGCCACGGCGTACCTGGTCATCTACAATGTGGTGATGACGGCGGGGTGAGGCTGGGGCTCGGGGAGGCGGGGAGCGGGCTCTGCGGCCGGGGCGGCCGTGCAAGCCCGCGCGCGGCCGGGCTGGGAACCCGCAGCCCGGGGCCGCCGCCGC